GAAAGGACTTGAACAGACATTTCTGCAAGAAGATGTGCAAATGAGCAATAAACGCGAAGAGATGCTTAACATCACTAAGCATTGGGGAAATGCAAATCAAAACCACAAGGAGAGACCCCCCCCTCACAACCATGAGCTCCAGGCAGGTAGGAAGATCCCTGGTGGGGAGGGGCCGGCTCTGTGCTGCCCCCAGAATTCCCACAGAGGCTGCCGGACCCCGACACCTCACCAGGAGCACAGGAACGAGTGGAAAAGGCCGCCGGCCACCCCAAAGGGCCAGAGGGGGCCAGCGAGGGCTCTGGGACATGGAACCATTCTGTGCATCCAGACACACGGGGACAACAGGGGGATGAAAGGTGGCCCCTAAAATTTACATCCACCCAGAGCCTATGAACACGGCCTATTTGGAAAAAGGGTCTTTGCAGACATTATGAAATTAAGGATCTTGAGATGCGACCATCTTGGATTACCCAGTGGGCCCTAAATCCGAGAAAGACTGTCCTTATAAGAGACAGACAGAGGGAGATTTGGGGCACAGAAGGAGGCCCCATGACAACAGAGGCAGAGATTGAGTGATATGGCCACGAGCCAAGGAACGCCAAGGGTTGCGGGAGCCGCCAGAAGCTGCCAGAGGCAAGAAGCAGGCTCCCCCTCGGAGCCTCCGGAAGGAACCAGGCCTGCTGATGCCGTGATTTCGGACTTCTGGCCTCCAGAATGGCGAGACAAGAAATGTCTGGTGTTTTGAGACACCCAGTTTGTGGCACTTGGTGATGGCAGCCCCAGGAAACCACTACAGGGACCAGAGTTCCCACAGGGCTGGGCAGGAAGTGGGTGCAGAGTGCGTCAGGCCAGGCCTCTCACATCGGAGATGAAAAAGCAGAACTGGAGAGGTTGAGACCGGATAGCACCCCGTGTCCAGGGGTAGGACCTCCCAGGGGACGGCAGAGGCCATCAGGGACAGCAGAGCGAGGGACAGGAGGGAGGGGTGAGGGCTGAGGTACCGCCCTCCAGGGGGCCTCGGCTCCCTGCCCACTGGTGACCCAGGAAACCCCTAAGAGGAGCTGGGCTTTACCCTGTGCCATACTGCATCGGGTGGACCCTGGTGGGGACAGACGTCCAGCAACAGCGTGGCTGAGCCCCTCCAGGACCCTGGGCCTGCATTCATGACCACGCACAGACGTCCACGCCCTCTTCCTGCAGCTCTCCCTCGTGGCCTGTTCCTAGCCTCCCAGCCCAACGGAGCTCCCCAGTGGAAAGTTCCCTTCTTGGAGACTCTCTCCCTGCTGAAATACAAGCTCTTGGAACAAGATAAAACTGCTTAATTTGTAAAAGCCACAAAGCCGGTCCAGAATAAAAAAAAGCTCCGACCCTTGGCTGGAAGGAGTGGCCTTCCATGCCTCAGCGGCCAGTCACCGCTGCGTGACTCACGCTGGCCCGGCTGACGAACCCTCCAGCACCTTCCCAGGGGAAGGCCGCAGGCCTCAGGGAGGGCGGGAGAGTACCCAGGCCCCTGTGAGAAACCAGACCGGAGCCAGGCACTGCCGACAGAGGGACAACGGAGGGACAAGAGGGCAGGTCTTGGGGCTCCTAAGCCTTCCCTGGGGCCGGCAGACCACCATGGACTCACCAGGGTAGGACTACCCCCTCCCACAAACCCTTTCTGGGCAGCTATAGGGCAGCCTGAGCTGGACACGCCTCACACACCAGCCCAGTGGGGCAGTCTGGAAGCCAGCGGGCCGGCGTCTGCCGGGCAGGCCTCTGTCACATAGGCACAGCATCCTCCCCACGCTCCTCCTCAGGCCAGAACACGCGTGGGAATCGGAGCAGCTCTCACAGTAGCTTGCAGCCTGACAAAGTGGCCTGAGCCACACCCTGCGAAGAGGAAGAGCCCCTCAGCGAGGGAAGAAGTGCCCACAAAACTCAGGACACGCGCAGAAGCCCGTGAGGAGGAGGGGGCGCTGCCTGGGGGCCCGGCTGCTCCCATCCCTCACATTGCAGATTACGGAACTGCGGCCCAGAGCTGCCAAGTGGCTTGCTCAAGGCCACCCAGCAGGGACAGGAAGGAACTCACTTCCCCAGGGACTGTTCAGGAGTTCAGTGATAATTAAAGACCAGTGCTAAAGTTTGCCCAGGACGAGAACCTCGTTAGGGAAACAGCTCGGGGATTCTCGTGTTCATTCGGAAGGCGGCCAGTTTACAACTGAGTTTTTTAAAATGTACGTTTTCTTACATGAAAACACATCTGAATGGGATTTTGTAGAAAGCATCTTTCATCAAGGCACAGCCCGAGGGGAGGTCCCCGCTTCATCCCTGGCTGTGCTGTCCTTGGCCAAGGGCAGCAGGGATCAGAGTGGTCTCTGGGGCACAGCGCTGACTGCTTTCAAAGAGTGTTTTGTTCAGTTCATGAAAAGCTTGTTTGGTGAGCCTGGGAGGGTGCCATCAGTTCCAGCTCCCCAGGGAGCACCACCCCCTAAACCCACGCCTCTCTGCCCAGCTCTCACATCCCCTGCTGGTCACCCATCTGGGCCTTGGCTGGATCATCTATAAAATGAAGGCCGAACCCGAGGCTCCCCGAGGCCCCTGCCAGCCAGGCGGGTGAAGTGACGACGTCCTCCCAGGGCTGGTGGCCAAGGAGGCAGGGGACCCACTGTGGTCTGGTGGGGTGGTCACTCCGAGGACGGCTCCACTGTGCAGGCCCGATGAAGGCCCCTCTCAGGGCTCCCTGCCCTGCAGCTCCTGCTGGGCCGAGAGCAGGACACTGGGCTCCACAACCACCCATCCCAGCAGGCCTGAACCCCCGAGCTCAAACAGATAAGATGCGGTTTCACTGCCGCCCCAGCCTTCTGCCCGTCTCCCCTGGCCCCCTCCTGAGGTCCGCCTGCTGTGCCCGACTGGGTGTGCTCAGTGGCACAACACACACCCGCTCCACCAGTCCCAACATCACATCAAGATGTGGCCCTGGGAGCAGCGGTGGAGGGGACTGCGCATCCTATAGAGGAGTCACCGAGATGGGCCTCCCTCTCTCAGGCCTCCCAGGGACCCCCCAACACACACATAGGGGCAACCAACAGACCAGGGCCCAAGGCACTTAGGGGTTGACACTCTTAGCGACCCCTGCTCCATGGCCCATAGGTCACTTCAGAATACCCAAAGCCTGGAGTGTGGTTCAACCACCCCATATCTCCCAGCCCTGGGCTCAGAGGGCGGCATGTGCAGCAGAAACCGTCATCACTGCTAATTACCAATGACGGCGCTGGCCACGTGCGATGGCAGCCACAGCACCGCACGTGAGTGAAGAGACCAAGGAGGCTGGGCCTGGGAGGGAGGGCCTGGAAAGCTGGGGTGAACTAAAGGCACGGGAAGCCCCTTTCTCTTCATTTGCCAGTTCACACCCCGATGGGTCTGTGCCTGCTGCAAGGGGGCTGCCAGCGTGCATGGACACACACACACACATGCACACACACACGCACACATGCACACGTGCACACGCACACACACACGCCGGGCTCCTCTGAGCGCCGGGAGCTTCCCCCTCTATAATCAACTGCCGGGAAGGCACAGAAATGCTATTTTAGGTAGGAGACCGAGGCAGCCTTGAAGACAGACTTTGGCTGGAGGCAAAACACAAACCACACAGTGGACAAACAAACCACTGGCCAGGTCCAAGCGCCACCGCCCCAGACCCGAGCCAGGGGGGCAGGTCCGCCATGCCCTCCCCAGGTTTCAGTGCCAACAGCCTGAGCGTTGAGAGTGGCCATGACATGCAAGAGTGGCACACTGGAAAATGAAAGAGAAGTAGCCAGGAGAGAGGAGAGCCGAGTTTAAATACAAGCCAGACTCAGGAGAGCTCAGCTTCTGAGACGGCGTTCATCCCACGAGCTTGGAACCGTCAAAAAGAAAAGAAATATTTCTGTGAAAAATGAGCAAAAGCGCCCCTTGCATGCTTATTCCCCCCAAGCATAAATAAAGCCCCGAGTCCAGGGCAGTTGGGGGGCGGCCGATGGGGACGGGGCTATCTGCCTACCTGAGATCCGGTCCCTCTCCATTCCTACGGATATATTTAGCAGCGGCGGGAGTCCCGGCGTCCCGCTCAGAGGCGGCCTCCCCTTTCTCACCCCCGTCGCCCTCCCTCTCTCAGCCTCCTCCTCCTCCTCCTCCTCCTCCTCCTCTAAAAACACTCTTTGTCTGGTCTAATTTCTTCAATCTGTTGCAATCACGAATGCATCCGAATTACCACATTTCCATGTGCTCATCATATGTTTGTGCTCCAAACTGAAGTAGCATTGTCTCTTCAAAATGGGAGGAAAAACGGAGCAAAGGAGAGAAATCCAAAAAGAGGAGGCAGGAGAGAGGGCCTGAGGTGGGCCCTGAGGAGTCCGGCAGCCCCCAGGGTCTGCCTGTGAGAGTCCCAGAGTCCTGGCCGCCCGGTCTGGTCGGTGGCTGCAGAGGTCCCGAGTGCGGCTTCCGGCAGCCTCCTCTCTCCACCTCCTCCAGCCCCCGCCGCCCTGAGGCTTGCTGCTCCTTTTTAATATCCACTTGGAGATGCTTAACTTAGACTCTTGGAAACCAACTCACAGAGTCAAATTCCTGACGACTTCCAAAGTCTTTCATTTTCCCTGTCCCGCGATGCTACGATTTCCTTGGGTTTAAGTGTTTAAAAAGCCCAGTTCCTGCGTGCCTTCCTCTGTCCTGGGCTAGCCCAGGCTTTCTTCACCCCGCACCCCAACGTGGCTGGGAGGGAGGAACGGCCGTGCCTCAGGCCAGCATGCTGAGAAAAGGTTCTGGAGCACCTGCCCAGGAGGAACCCTGAGAAGTCACCCCGCTCTGTCCTGTTAGCCTGTGGTGACAGAGGCAGTTGCCGTCCCCGCCCAAGCAGAAGGCGAACGGGATGGGGACTTCCTGGATGATTCCTACCACACACGCATGAGTCAGTAAGTCTCCAGCCGTCCCCTGGGAGGGAGCGAGTCTTCCTCTCCGGGAACTCGGGGCCCCACTGGGGGATCAGTGCTGTTCCCCACTGTTCATCCGGGTTCCTCAGAGGCTGCTTACCTGGGGGGTCCCCACCAGCACATGGTCAGTGTCCATGCTGAGGCCAAGGGCTCAGCAGACCAGGTGGGGGCCTACAGTGTGCGTTCCTGGGTGGGGAAGGGGGCATCCTCTCTGTCTTTAAGCTTCACCTCAAGGGTTCATTCAAACCTGAGACACAGAGGCCGGTTCTGTTGGCCCAAGCCTGTTTAAAGAGAATGTGTGTTCGTGCCAAGGCTGAGAACTCAGGCAATCTCTCTGAAAACTCCAGATGGTCAGCTTCTGTTGAGAAAGGGAGGACGCATGGCCACACCACAGAAGCCTTCCTGCCTGGCCACACAGGGCTGGTGTAAGACTGCTCTGCCCTTTAGACAAAACAGTTTCCAGTTTGCGCTGCTCCCCAAGGCCCCCACGCAAATTTCCAATATTTGCACCCCTCCACCTCGACACACCCCGCAGGCCTCTGAGTTTACAATCCCTGCCCCACAGAGCCAGGTGAGTTACCTGTGACCAGGTGAGGCCCATGCACAGCCCTCAGCTAGATGACAGAGCCAAAGGCCCTGAAATCCCACTTCAGGCCACAGTGCCGTCCACTCTCTGCCTGGGACAGGACCCGAAATGCAGCCTCCTTTGGCAGAAAGGACGTCTTCCTGTGGGGTGGGGAGGACCATTCCCAGCCTTCTGGGAGACATCAAGCAACCACCTCCTCCTAAAGAGGCTGGAGGACAGCCCCACAGGCAGCCAGGCAGTGAGGGAGATGGGGACAGCATCTCAGCCGAGGTGGGAGGCTGGGGAGGGAGGGAGGGATCACGGGCACTAGAGAAGGCTGAATAATGGCCCCAGGGATAGCACGTCCTAATCCCTAGACCTGCAAATGGGACCTTGTTTGGAACAAGGGTCTTTGCATCTGTGATTCAGTTGCGGATCTTGCTGTGGCGAGAACACGTGGATGGCCCAGGTGGTCCCTAAAGGCAATCTCGGTGCTCACACAAGATGGGGGCAGCGGGAGATTCGACACAGACAAGGATGGTCAAGTGGAGATGGGGCCCGAAGAGATATGAAGATGCTGGTGTTGAAGGTAAGGGCCACGCAACCACAAGCCCAGGGACGCCCACAGCCACCAGAGGCTCGAAGGGGCAGGTGATGAAGGCAGCAGCCCCCAGGCTTTTTGGCACCAGGGATCGGTTTCATGGAAGACAATTTCTCCACAGACCAGGGAGTGGGGAGATGGTTTCAAGATGTTTCAGGTGCATTATATTTATTCTTTTATTTTATTGAGACAGAGTCTCACTCTGCTGCCCAGGCTGGAGTACAGTGGCGCACTCAGTTCACTGCAACCTCCGCCTCCTGGGTTCAAGTGATTCTTCTGCCTCAGCCTCCCAAGAAGCTGGGATTACAGGTGCCTGCTGCCCTACCCGGCTAATTTTTGTATTTTTAGTAGAGACAGGGTTTCACCATGTTGGCCAGGCTGGTCTTGAACTCCTGACCTCGTGATCCGCCAGCCTTGGCCTCCCAAAGTGTTGGGATTACAGGCGTAAGCCACCACACCTGGCCTTTATTTTTTTATTTTTTGAGACAGAGTTTCACTCTGGGATTGCAGGTGTGAGCCACCGCGCCCAGCCACAAGCACACTGTACTCATTGTGCACTTTATTTCTATTATTATTACACTGAAATAATTATACGATTCACCATAATATAGAATCAGAGGGAGCCTGAGCTTGTTTTCCTGCAACTAGACGGTCCCATTTGGTAGTGATGGGAGATAGCGACAGATCATCAGGCATTAGATTCTCGTAAGAAGCCCACAACCTAGATCCCTCACATGCACAGTTCACAATACAGTTCGTGCTCCTATAAGAATCTAACACCATGGCTGATCAGACAGAAGGCAGAGCTTGGGCAGTAATGCAAGCAATGGGGAGTGACTGTAAATACGGATGAAGCTTCGTTCGCTTGCCAGGCACTCGCCTCCTGCTGTGCAGGCCAGTTCCTAATAGGACACACACAGGGGTGGGAACCCCTGCCCTAGAGCCTCCAGAGGGCTGTGCCCAGTGGACACCCTGATTTCAGCCTGGTGACGCTGATCTCGGACGTGTGGCTTGCAGAGCTGTGAGAGGATGGCTGGGCGTTGTTGCGACCCAGCCAGCTTGTGGCCACTCGTTACAGCAGCTGTGGGAAACTGATGTAGCAGCACAGACAGAGCCAGGGCTCAGCTCACTGGAGCTGCTTTCTGTTATTCTATTTCTTCCTAAAACATTGTATTAAGCCAACCACTAATAACCACTGACTCCGATCGGCAGGAATCATGGAGGTTTCTTGGTTTGTTTCTTTAATCCCTTTTCCAATTTTGAAATAATATTTCTTGTTGGTTTTTCTGATTATAAATGTAATATCTTTCGTTGTATTGAGTTTAGCAACAAGAGAAAAAGTATAAAGCAGAAACCCCAGTTGGGCAAGGTGGCACGTGCCTGTAATCTCAGCACTTTGGGAGGCTGAGGCGGAAGGATTGCTTGAAACCAGGAGTCCGAGGCTGCAGTGAGCTATGATCGCGCTACTGCAACCCAGGCTGGGTGAAAAGAGTGAGACTCTGTCTCAAAAAAAAAAAAGAGGAAGAACACCCATTAACCTCACTCAAGACTCTCCATACAAACTCCCGCTGTGGGGCAGGGAAGCCCAGGAAGGCCCCACCAGGCTCTGACCCAGCCAGGCTGGCGGTGGGAACTTGGGAACAGCCCCAAGTGAGGGGCCGGACTATGACGAGTGCATTCACCCGGCCACCTCCCGCACGCTGTGCACACTATGGGTTTGACGGCCAGGGCTGGAGTGCTTGCTGAGCACAGCCTTGACCCTCAGTTTCACCCAGCATGGTTTGGCTTGAGGTCCATCTCCCCTCCGTGCCTCAAAATCCAAACATTTAGGCTGGGCAGGGGATCACTTGAAATGGAAACCCTGGCAGCACCGATTGGCTCTGAAGAGGCAGGGGTTAGTCATGAGCCGGCTGGGAGGCGAGTGCAGAGGTGGTGGGGTAAGACCAGCCGAGGGTGGGGGAGGCGAGGGGCCAACCTCTCACTGCCCACAGTGTCTCAGCCTCTGTGTAAGCGCTAAGGGGGCACCTCACCAGGCCAGCGCAGACCCAAGCCCCTGCAGCAGATCCCCCGTGGTCCCTCCCTCCAGAGGAACACTGAAGTGGTTTCTGTGGTCCTCTCTTAGATTCAGAGGCACAGTTGCATACTAAACGCACTGAGTAATCCTGCAGTGAGGGAGCCGGGCTTGGTTTAACCCACCTTTTCCCAAACTGGACCAAAGGTTGCTGTCCCAGGAAGGAAGGGCCCTCAGGGCCACGGCTTTGGGAAACTCTAGTTGTGCCAGCCTGTGAGCCCAGCTCCCGGTCACCCCAGCCTGCCTACACCTTGGAGTGGGCACTGTTACCCAAAAGCCCCTTCCAGACAGTTCTCAGGGCGGCATCTCTGTCCTTCACCCCCCATAGACCCTTGGCCACTTTTTTGTGACATCAGCATCATTGGTTCACAGCTCCTCTTAATTGCGAAGTAGGGCACAGCAGGCACAGTGGGGCCTGGCAGGGCAGGACGGAATAGCGAAGGCCACTTTGTCTCCAATGGCACTGGCCGGGCTCCGGAAAGGCCAGAACCCACAGAAAGGAAGGAAGTGTCACACTCAACCTGCTTTGCCTCAGCCTGGGGGCATCTTGTAGAAAGAAGTTAGGTGGTTATTCTTCACTCTCTGGCTTGGCCTAGGAACTGCTTCTTTTTCAAGACGCTATCAAATGCCTCCTCCATTAGGAAGCCTTCCCTGGTTGCCTCCTCCATTCCTGTCTTGCCCCAGAACATGGCCCAGGCCTCACAGACAATCCTGACATCAGAGCCTTCTTAGTAGAGATTTTCCTTCTCCATGGAAATTCACGCTCCAAACCGAGTATGTGTGCAGACTGAGCCCCTGTTCCCACGTGAAACAAAAGTGAAAGGTACGGGTCACCGTCTCACAACAATCTGGGCTCCATAGGGGCCCAGTAGGAGCCGGGTCCAGTTCAACTGCCCCAGGCGCACCATCCCGGGCACTAGTGCCTTAGCTCCCCTCCAAGAAGCACAGCTTCATCCCCTGGTACCCAGAGGGGAGGGGACACATACCAGGCATTCCCCAGGGTGGCCTGTACTCCCTACACCAGGCCAGGAGGACCTGGGGCTGGTCCAGCCATGCAGGAAAGGAGCAGGCGGTCCAGGAGACGCTGATGTAGGCAGCAGGGGCCTTCAGGAAAGAGGCTTCGTAGGATCGGCCCCACCTTGCTCCAGGCGCACACACTGGGGAAGGGTCCTGCGCGGAGGTGGAGACAAGGCATCTCAGGCTGAAAGGATGCTTTCTGACGCTCCGGGCTCGGATTTGTTGCCATCTTCCATGTCCCCTCACCTAACACAAGTTCCAGTAAATCCTCCATGCCGAGTACCAAGCTCTAGAGGATGCACAACCTCTCGCTTTAAAAAGTGACTTTTCCTGCTGGGAGTGGTGGCTCACACCTGTAATTCCAGCACTTTGGGAGGCCGAAGTGGGAGGATCACTTGAGGCCAAGAGTTCAAGACCAGCCTGGGCAACATAGAGAAATCCCATCTCTACAAAAAAAGAGTCTAGGCACAGTGGCTCACACCTGTAATCCCAGCTACTTGGGAGGCTGAGGCAGGAGAATCACTTGAACCCAGGAGGCAGAGGCTGCAGTGAGCCGAGATCATGCCACTGCCCTCCAGCCTGGGCAACAGAGTGAGACTCTGTCTCAAAAAAAAAAATGTTTTTTTTTGAAGGCCCCTTCTTCCTCCCTTTGCCCAGGTTGGAAGGCAGCAATGTAATCACAACTCACTGTAGCCTCAGCTTCCAGAGTAGTTGGAACTACAGGGGTGCACCACCACGCCCAGCTAACTTTTTGTATTTTTAGTCGAGACAAGGTCTCGCCATGTTGCCCAGGTCTGGAGCACCTGAGCTCAAGTGATCCTCCCACCTTGGCTCCAAAAGTACTGGTATTACAGGCATGGGTCACCATGGCTAGCCTGAAGACATTTCTTTTAAGAATTAGGCAGGCATGGTGGCACACAACTGTAGTCCCAGCTACTTAGGAGGCTAAGGCGGGAGGATCCCTTGAGCCCGGCAGGTCGAGGCTGCAGTGAGCTATGACTGTGCCACAGCACTTCAGCCTGGGGGACAGAGAAAGATCCTGCCTAAAAAGAAAAAAGAAAAAAAAAAAAGACTTTTCCATTCATTTCCTGCTCATCCTCAGACAACCACTGAAGTTTGCTTCCCTGAATTAAAAGTGAAGGAGCTCCGTCCCGGACTCCCTCCTGCTGACCCTGCTACTGTACCTGCCAGCAGAGCCGGCCAAGACCCTCCAGGCTGGCCCCAGCCTGGCCCGCCTACAGCCTCCCAAGCAAGACGGATTCCCGGGCTGAGGCCAGCTGCATTCCTCTCCGGAATCTTTCTCCACTTTTTATTGTGCCTCAAGCTTTGGCTGTTCCTAAATAAATACAATCCAGCTATCTCTGCCCTTGGGGCCGCTGCAGGGTTTACTGGTGCAAACCGCCTGGGCAGGCCTGTTGCTTTAGGAGTCCTTCCAGGTCAGCGTGGAAGGAAACCAAGACAACGGGGAGAAGCAGCCCGGCCGGGCCCAGTTCCACTCTCACAGCCTCGTGCTCAGCCATCCGTCCGGGCTGTAGCCTGACAGGAGCCAGAGTTGGCGCTCCATTCCTAGAGGGGGCCCCCGACTGCCTGTGCAGAGTGAGGGAAGTCTGAGGGTGCAGAGGCCAAGGCCCCTTGCAGAGTTTGCCCCAGGCCCCCTGAGTTTAAGCTTCTCTGCAGCCAACAGAAAACTCCCCCAAGAGCGGGTGTCTTTCATCCTGCCTGCTCAGTAGGTGCCCAGCAACCGTTCGCTGGATAAACAATGAATTTGCAGATCCAACATGAAGATGATCTAAACCACCCATAGAACTTTCCGCAATGATGTCAATGTTCTGTATCTGCTGTGGTCAATATGGCAGCCACATGTGGCAGTGAACGCTTGCGATGTGGAAGGGCTACCGAGGAAGGCACAGAGTTTCGCATTTATGTTAAATAATTTAAACTTAAATAGTCACAAATGCCTAGTGCCTGCCCTGTTACACAGACCCTTTTTGTCACCTTCTTCTCCTCCCTGGAGACACTGCATTCACCATCAATTTCTTATCCAGGAGGCAAACAGAGAAAAGCTACTCTTTAGCCAATGCAAAAGAAGGCCCATATTTGCATTTTAAGCTAGTTTTTTGGCCAGTTCTCCCAAGCATCTCCTATCAAGGTCAGTCCAGCAATATTTCCTGACTGCCTGCCACACACCAGGAGAGCATCCTGCCCCAGCTCTGGTCCGAGGCTGTGGCGGACACAGAAATAACCAATGCCAAGCTGATAGAAGGGGTGTGACAAGATGGCCCAAAGTCACCCTGAGCCAGCTGGGTCCAGGAGCATGGAAGCCCTGCTTTCCAGAGGACAAGTGGCAACCCATCCAGAGAGGTCCGAGCACTCACAGCCAGGAGCGCAGAAGCAGCAGGGGGCTCCAGGCTGGAAAGCAGTGTCAGGGTCAGGCTGGGCGGCAGCACAAATCCACACTTGAGGCTTGGGGGCAGAAACTAAGGGCTCTGTAAGTAAGAAGACCAGGCCCAGGTCTATTGTAAATGATCGGGTGGAGGGATCCTATCACCGGGTCCCCAGCACAGAGGAGGGAAGCAGTAATCGTCCTCTAAATGTTGGCTGTGGATAGGAAGGAGCCACAGCAGGACAGGGGTGGGGAGGACGGCACCCGCTGGTCCAAGGAGGGATGACAGAGGCCCAACCAAGACATGACTATGACCAGAGCAGCCTGTCCAAGGGCCAGTATGTGGAGGTTGAGTTGATGAGATCTTGGCAACCTGTTGACCTGGGGGTGCTGGGGAGGCAGAGGTCAAGATCAACTCTGAGATTTCCTGCTTGTGAACCTGGGTGGGTGGCAAGGCTGACATCAGAGAAATAGAGGAAGAGCGGGTAGCTATGCGTGAGAAAGGAAGTAACGAGCTAGGGGTGCCACAGGAGCCCAGGGGCAAGGTCCTCGGGCAGCCAAGATGCTGGTGGTCTCTTCCACAGCCAGCTCCCTCCACGTGGCACACTTCTGTCTGCATGGCTGGGCATGGGGGACCTGTTTGTCCGACACACTTTGAGCAGCTACTCTGTGCACCAAGGCAATGTGGCACAGTACCCTGGGGAAGTAGCGAGGAGGCACTGCCCAGGCCCCACCCCTCTGGCATTTTCTGTCTCCTGGGGATGGTGGCAGTTAAATAAGTGACAGCCAATTGTCAGGAGAGTTGGGCTCTGATTCATCGGGTGGGGCCAGGCACTCCTTCCGGAAGAGGCGTGGGAACTGGCGTAGGATGAAGGGAGGGAGCGAGCACCAGCCCAGGCCCTGTTCCTGCAGGGCCCTTTTCACACCTCCTTGTGCAGGCGTCCCCTGTGAGGGCAGAGACACCTAGAGTGCTTGAGGGAGACTTCCTGCGGGCGGGGGTGGCCCATCCACAGCGGCCAGGTAGGGAAGTGCATCAGTGTCCTGTGGCCGCCATAATGGACCACAGCTGTGGGGCTTGAAAAACTGGAAGTGGGTTCTCTCCCAGTGCTGGAGGCCAGAGGTCCAAAATCAAGGTGTCAGCAAGGCCACACTCCTAGGAAGGCTCTGAGGTGGGGTGGGGTGTCCTTCCTTGCCTCTTCCCAGGCGCTTTCTGGCCTGGAGCTGCATCACTGCACCATCCACTGCTGCCTTCGCGTGGCTCTTACCGGTGCGTCTGTGGCCTCTCTGCTTCTTTTAAGGACATCAGTCGTTGGATTTAGGGTCCATCCTGATCCAGAATGGCCTCATCTCAAGATCCTTAACTACTTACATCTGCAAAGACCCCATTTCCAACTCCCAGGTCACATTCTGAGGTTTTTGGTGGACATGAGTTTGTGGGGGACACGGTTCAACCCAGGACAGAAGGGATGACGGGGGCACTGGGGACGAGGCCACACACCCCAGAGGCATTGGAAGATGGAAGAGCAGGACCCAGAGGCACGGGATGTCAGGCAGAGGAGTTGGCTCCAGGGATCCCAGCCGGGGACTGAGGGCCAGAGGGAAGGAAGCTCGGGCACCACTGAGATGAAATGCTCCGTGCACCGTGGGAACCAGGGCAAAAGTCAGGGAGGCGGCTGCCCAGAGAGGCTGACTGAGGCACAGAAAATGGGCGAATATGGGAGAGCCTACCAGAAGGCCACTCGGAAGGGCGCAGTGGTAACATCTAGAAGGGCTGAGGAGCGCGTCCCCACAGCCCAACCAATCCACCTGGGGAAACACACGTTTCCGGCAGCGCTAATAACAGAAGACCTTCGGTGATGTCACCAGTGGGCCACGGGACTGGCAAACTCTGCCTCCCCACACGGAGGAACACTCGCTAGCTGCCAAAATAAATGAACCAAGGCTAAGTGGATCTACACGGATAAATCTCCACACCATCACGTTGTGGGCACAAGCAGGGCAGCCACTGACTCCAGTCAGGCACTGAGGACACGAGGCTGATGACGGCATTCAAGAGGAGAGAGACCTAGGCTGTTCAGACACACGATGCTGACAACCGTATTCAAGAGGAGACCAGGCTCACACCTATAATCCCAGCACTTTGGGAGGCCGAGGCAGGTGGATCACCTGAGGTCAGGAGTTTGAGACCAGCCTGACCAACACGATGAAACCCTGTGTCTACTAAAACTACAAAAAAATTAGCCAGGCATGGTGGCGGGTGCCTGTAATCCCAGCTACTGGGGAGGTTGAGGCAGAAGAATTGCTTGAACCCAGGAGGCAGAAGTTGCGGTGAGCCGAGATGGCGCCACTGCACTCCAGTCTGGGCGACAGAATGAGACTCTATCTCAAAAAAAAAAAAAAAAAAAAGAGGAGACCTAGGCTCCTCAAACACACCACCGCCCAGCACAGACATGCCTGCCCAATCCAGGGGTGAGCACTGCAGCGGGAGCAGGGCTGGGATGGAGAGGGTCACCCAGGGCTGGGCTACACCTGCAATGTCTCACTTCTTAAGCGGGACAGTCAGTACACAGGTGTTTTGTTATCTTATTCTTTACTTTTTTTTTTTTTTTTTGGTAGCTCTAACAATTCCATTTTTTTAAAAAAAAAAAGGAGACAAAGTGTGTGAGCTGACCAAAGGGTTGATCATGGTGTCATTTAAGCTCTTGCCAGAAATGTCATCCCTGGCCCAGTCCCAAACACAGCCTCGAGAAGAGCCTTTGTCCTTCTGGGGAGGGCAAGAGTCCCAGACATAGGAGACTGGCCAGATGTGGATCTACAGAGAAGTTGGGCTGGGAGGACAGGATGGCAGACAGTCATCTGGGGAGTGTCAAGTGGGGAGGCCTGAGATGCTGGGACGTCTAGGAAGGAAGTCCTGCCTGGACCAGGGTCTCAGCAGCAGGGAGGCAGTGAGAAAGACAGAAGCCAAGAAGATGAGGAAAGGGTGTCTCAGGCCGGAGCCCACAGAGGCCCACAGAGGGAGGACCCCGTGTGTCAGCAGGCAGTCCCACGCAAACCCAGATCACCAGCTTGCAGCTTTGGGCTTCAGCAAATTATGCCTTAGGCTTCCAAGCTGAGCTGTGATCGCGGCTGCCAAGTGCTGACGGCACAGAACCAGCCGGTCTAAGCAGAGGGAAGCAACCGCCGGGGGAGGCTGTGTCCACGCAGCCCAGGTGCCAGGCTCCCAAGATGCAACCCCCACAAGCACTGGGGGACCCTCCCCACCCATTCCACCAGAAGCTGGCCAATGAGAGGGAGGGAGATGGAGAGGCAGATCAGATGCGGAACCTGAGAAAAGCTCCCCAGAAACACAGCAGTGGCTGGGCTGTCCAGTGGCTAGTGCCCAACATGACTGCAATAGGCGGGGCCCCTCTTAACCACGGCGCCAAATCATGCAGCTGCCCAGGGGCCTCCAGCCAGAGCGTCACCCCACTCTCCCCACATACAGTCCCATCCTGTACTGCAAGGGACCTCACATGCACTCATGTGGACACGGCAGCCCGCATAGCCACACAAGGTCCCACATCACCCACATGTACACGCCATCCCCTCCACTCCCACGTGCTGTAAAAAGCCACCCTCTCGCCCCTCCAGGCCTGGTGGTGCACAGTGCACAGGCGCTGCATCCACCTCTGGAGGGCGGACTTAGGAGGGGTCTGTGCTGTCCCCACAGAAGCCAACTCAGGATCAGAAGCAGGCTTTGGGTGTAGAATTCTGGGGTCTCAGGTAGCCGATGTGGTCTGGAACTGTTCCGTTTCAGAGCCACTAGCCACATGCAGATATAAGTGGAAATCCATTGAAAATAAATCAATAATTCTATGCAAGTAAATGAGTGAATGAAATAAACTTAAACATTTATACTTCGAGTGTGCAGTAGACCCAGGTGGTCAAGCGACTACCATACAGGATGGCGGGGTGGGGATGTACAGAACAGACCCA